AGATGCACAAATAATGATTCGAAACCTTGTTTAATAAATATACCAGATCAGTATCGATGATCTCCCTTATGGTTAGCCTCTCATTAGTCACAAAAAACCTAGCACGAACAGATGTAGCACTACCAACGGACCATTGGCTACTATCATTGTTTGTAAGAGCAAGTGAATCATTGGGGAGACTGCACAGTAAAACAAAGTGCTAAGACCTCTAGGTGACCGGTTAAAGGTAAGATGAAATTACGATGAGACATACCTAGCTTTAAAATTTGCAATTAAATCCAATGTTGGATTCAGCAATATATGGGTTGAATTGTACCCGCTAGATATGGAGTAAGCACCTGCGGTATCATAAGCTTATTAATAAAATGTTATGAGATAAGTCATTTAAGAAAGTAAGTCTAGGAACTATACCTTTCCACTCTTTAATGGAACAAAACCGGATTAGAGCAATGATCATTGTGGAAATGTTTAACATACTGTAATCATATACTTGTTTAGCATAACTGCCCCAAAGAGTACACATCAACTTCACATCACTGCATATAACACCACTATTATTAATGGATAACACAAGAAAAGCTGATCCAATAATTTAGAGGAAAAGGCATAAAATGAAAACTTACTTTTGGTCCCTTAACTCAATCAATAGTCTGAAATTATCCTTTCCTTTTATGACTTTGTTTTCCAGAGATCCGAAGTTAACTACTTGGCCAATAACATCTACATATCAAGTTAAGAAGTAAATATTGTGTCATTTAAAAATATTGTAAGAGAAAGCAATAGTACGAATTTGACTCACCAATCAAACAACTGCTACCAAGCTTCCCATCAATAATATCACTGTAATTGACAAGATACTTCTCCGGAACTTCACTTGGGAAGTCATCGGCTGGTCCAACATAAGTTGTCTGAAAGAATCCAATTTTGTAGGGATGCGCGGTGGTTCGATAATCACCAGTAGCGTCGTAGACTTTAAATAAGTGGATGACCTTTGCATCGCCTTCGGTTAGTTTCCCTTCAAAATGTTTTATGAGCACTTCACCGACTTGAGCATGGATTCTTGTCCCCTACACGGTGATGAGAAGAGAGTTAAAGATGTACCTGTAATACATTCTACAAAAATGGAAATAACATAGGAAATGAAGTAATGAACTTACTTCTTTATCGACAAACACCATTTCGATGGTGTTTCCGGAATCTCTGTTGTAGTTTCTCCATAAACGCAGAATCCTAACCTCAATACGCCATGTATCTTTACACGGTCTCAAATCCTTGATAGATGACACTCGATTTTTCGTAGCTTTAACCATTGAATAGATGTTTTTGAGACTTGCGTTACGTTTACAGACATTATGACATCGTTAATATATACTGAATTACTTTCCTAATGGTATGAGATTGACATCTTTGGCATTTAATTTCCAGCTTGTTTCACAAGTTATCGAATATAAAGTTAGCTCTCTAATTAACGTAACCAAATATTTAAGATACGATTTAACGAATATTATATAAGATTCCCAAAATTAATGTTAGCTCTCTAATTAATGTTCCCGAATATTATATAAGGCAAGTAATTAAGGTAAACGAATATATGAGATACGATTGTCAAACCATTTGCACGTCGAAAATTAAAAAAATACCAAAGAAAATTGAAAAAAATCAACCAATCAGATTGTCAGAATTTCTCTGAGAAGGCCTGTGTGAGCGACACGTGTCCAAGTGACTTCTCTTTTAATGTATAGGAGGATTTCTTATACATGATTTTATGGATATAATATCAAAGGTATTTTAAGGTATCCAGATCCTTATCTAAAGGATCGATGTTTTTACTTCCTTATTTGATTTGGAGTTCTCTGATATCCGGATTTAGATATTTTTTTTCAAAATTATCATATCCGACGAATATTCGGATTTGAATTTGGTTCCTTCAAATAAATAAAAATATAATTAAAATATATAAATATTAACAATAAGTTAAAAATAAAAAAATAATGTTTTTAATTATTTATAAATATACTATTACAAAATTTATATATATTATAGAAAGGCAAATATAATTAATAAAATTAGTTTTTTATATATTAGTATTTTTGAAATAGTTATCAATAAAAAATACGGATTCGGATATCCAAACTAAAAAGTAAGATATCCAAAAACGATTTTGATTGATTCTACCTTTTACTATCTAGATCGGATCAAAGCCAAATCTGAGATAAGAATTTTCAGGTTTAGTTTGATCTTTTGATTGGTTTATATTTTTTTTTTTGAATAAAATATTGGTATAAATGTAAAACAGATAAATAGTAGAATAATCAACTTGCAAACAAAATATTTTTGTATATAATGAGAAAACGGTCATAAAATATTGCCTGCTTTCTCTAGTTGTATGATATTAACCTTAACCTTTTGAGGCTATGGTTGATCCTAAGAAACGAGTTTAAATTCATTTTAAGAACATAGGTTTTTCTTGAATGTGTGTGAAAGTGATTTAAAATATGTTTTTGTTGAAATGTGTGTGGATGTGATGTTTTGATATACACATGGAAGACACAATAGATATAAGGTTCTTTCATAATTTATTAACTTCTAAGACCATCTTCAACAAAGAATTCTTATGTCCTGTCTCTTAATTTTTAAGTAAAAAAACTAAAAACTAGTTTTTAAATAAGTCATTTAAGAACTGGTTCTTAACTTTTTTAATTAAAAGTTAAGAGACGGATTCTCTTAAGGTTCTTAGATAATTTATTAACTTCTAAGACCATCTCCAATAAGAGATTCTTATGTCGGGATTCTTAGAGGAATATAAGAACTCGTCTCTTAACTTTTAAGTAAAAAATCTAAGAATTGGTTCTTAAATAAGACATTTAAAAATCGGTTTTTAACTTTTTTATTTAAAAGTTAAAAGACGGATTCTTATATTTTGCTAAGAACCTCTGCCTCCAAAGAATCGTTTATTAAAGAGTTTGAAGATGCGCCACCAAAACTGAAGAACATTACAATGTGAAAGCCCAATTCGAGAGCTTGAACGAACTGGAATAATGACTTCCAAGAAGAAGTAATGTGAACCAAAATCAAAACGAAGAAGTGTAAAGTCATTATCAGAATAGTTTGCACATGTCTTTGCTTGATGTTTATTGCAATTGTGATCGTCTATCTCCTCTGCTACGTTTACTTATCTCTATCACGTAGGACTGCCATTTATAAGATCTTTTGTTGTCAGTCACTTTATTTGCAGTTTGTATTGCTTAGATGAAAACAAATCAGATTAAGAAAAGTAAATAATAATAAAAATGATTAAAAAATTCTAACTGTAGAATGATGTTATAAATAGGCTTTGCCTTATTAAGCGTATTAGAATTCGATATTGCTGCAAGGTTACTCCTTGAAGGCAAAAATAAAAATTGGAGAAACAACAAGAAGAAACTTGAAAAGTACCCAAAGATCTCTCAGTTTCCAACCAAATCGATTACCGAATTGGCCAGGCCGTACCAAGATATAATGAATCTGCAAGCAGGTCCAAAACTGGAATGTGTAGCACGGAAACACCATAAGTAAAATGAAAAACTACAAAACATACAATACACATAGAGAAGCTATACTACTATCTTATGCAAGTGGGACTTATGCCTCTTATTCCTTATGAAGAAGCTCGAACACGTCTGACCATTAAGATTACAACAACACGCCGATTTCTCGATAACTATATACAATCTTCCCCAAACGTTTCCCTTTCACTTTCCTCCAAAGCCAAAGCAGCAACACTGTCAATCACAGAAAGACAAAAAAAAAACAATGTTCAAAAGACTCTTTTGACTTAGAAGCAATGTGTGCTTGAAGGAGTGAGGGTCTTACTTTAGAAGCGTTGGAAGGGCTATTGCTCGGGTGAGTAGGCGTTCTTGAAGATCCACTCACATTGGCTGCTGCAGAGCTTCTCTCTTCACGGACTTTGTTGAAAATGTGTGTGTATCCATCAGCTGACGCCGGGTTGTTCTCGTCCCAGTCTCCGAATTTTGGCACCACTGTGACTTTTTCAGGCTATAAAAAAAAACAGTTTTAAAAACTCAGATATTCCGACAAAGACGAAAATATGTAACAAACTTAACCAAGTAAAGACTTACGCTTTCATCAGCTCTAAGGTTTGGTTTGGGCTTTGGTCTACCAGTGCCATCATACGAATTCTTATGCAAGGGGGACTTCTCATAGCTATTGTTCTGAGAAGCCCTTCCTTGTCTTTTGTCGTTTGATGACAGTTTCAACTCGCTCTCATCTCGGCTTCTCGTCTGCTCACGCGATCTTCTAACCGGGTCAACTTCATCAGGTTTGGTTCTTGAAGGAGGAAGAGGAGCTTGAGACTGTGAATCCGAGTAATACTCCGGGTCGTTCGGGTTCGTTACTCTGCCGCCGGGTGCTCGACCTTTACGGGCTTTCTCGAAGTAAGCTGTGTAAGGAACATTCTCCTCACCTTCCCAGTTTCCAAATTTGGGAACGTTCGAACGTTCCTTGCAGCAGCCACCACACAAAAGTTATAAACAATTAAAAACAATGTCTTCCACAAAACTTCCAATAGCTAACTAAAGGGTAAAATCGGAATAACGAACAATCATCACAGACAAAGATTCCCAACAAGACAAGATATAGTTGCAGTTTCGTTGTAAGAATCAAAACTCCCATTTAATCGCTATCTCATATTAAGAAAACAGAGCATAAGCCTTTTCTTATCTTTAGAATCAGAATCGTACGATTGAAAAGTGATTACAACACAATCTTCAAAAGGGTATTAGAGATACACGGAATCGAAACAACAACAAGAATCTGTGAGAGAGATGAAACATTTGGAGAAACTTACTGCCATGGGAGAATTCCGGAGAGATTGCAAAAGAGGCAACTTTAGAAAGAGAGAGATGTGAGCGAGAGAGAGAGAGAGAGAGGAGAATAGGTTTATCAAACGTTGACTAGTGATGCCTGAGTTGTTTGACTTTTCTCCTTCTCTATCTTCTCTAATTTTTTTTCGTTTCTCATCTCTCTCTCTTTGCTCATTCCAATTTCGAATTTAATTAGAGAGGAATAAATATGTTTTATGTAATTAATAGTTTTGTGTGAAAATCACTCAACGCCGTCACCGTTAAAGGCGGCTGAAACTAAAAGCACATAATTATTGTTTATTTTTATCTCTGAATTGGACATTTCTTTCAGTCTATTTATTCTTACTAGGGTGTTTCCCGGATTATCCCCGAATTTCTTATTTATAAATTGTTTGTTATAATTATTTCAAAATGACATTATAATAAAATTTCTAGTCATACGTTTAGAAAAATATGTTTGTAACATAGAAATGAAAGATATATACACAATATTAACTTTGGTGACATATATTCAAATGAGGACAACGAAATATAAGAATGTATAAGAAATCAGATTTGTTTTTGCTAAACAAAAACCTTCAACAACTTTTTTTTATTTGTAATTTTAGATTTTTAAGATTATCTTTATTTTGATATGCACATCAACTCTTTTCTACATGAATACATCAGTGCATTTTCCATATATCTGAGTATTGTAATCAATCACGATCTCATAATTCCAAAACAAACGAAAAATTGAATTAAGTTAAAATAAAAAAAATACCAAACCAAATTTCTAGATCTTTTTCACATGGTTATAGGACAACATATTTAAGATTTTTTCTTCAGAATCAATGGAGCTAACACGTCCAATTGCTGCTTCTCCAAAATTAGGATCGAAAAGTTACTTGGTCATTGAATCATCTGACTTTAGGAGGGACATTTTTCACCTTGAAGTTAACTGACATCAAACCTTAAACATGGACTATGAAAATCTATGGTTTTCTTCCAATTCTGGTCAATAGTAAGCACTACATCAGCTCGTAACAAATTAAATAACTTCAAGATAACAATGTTTTTGTCACAAAACCACTTGGAATATGATGCTGGAATATGATGCTACGATAAGTACTTGTCATATTAAAATGAGTAACAGATTTTGTTTTGTCAAACAAATAAAACTCGAAATATTTCGTAAACCATTACTCAGTTTTAAAGCACATGACCCCTTTTATCATTGGTATCTATGCCAAATTGCTAGAAATTATTCAGTTTATTTTACATAAGCAAAACCAAAACAAAATCTTGTTATATATTTAAGTGAAAGGATTTAAGTGAAAGGGTGCAATGAAACATTGCAATTGTTTATGTGAACAATTGCAACTACATAAATAAAAGCTTGCAATTATTGATGAGTACAACCTTTGGTAATAACCATATTAATGATTGCAACCTTTGGTGATAACCATACTAATATTTGCAACCTTTGGTGATTAAACATATTAATGATTGCAACCCTTGATAATTAAACATTGTAACTCTTTACTAACCATTGCAATTGTTGGTATTAACAATTGCAACTCTTCATTAACCATTGCAACTATTAGTACTAACCATTGCATCTTTTGGATTAACCATTGCAACCATTGGTTGCAACCTTTCACTCTCTATATAAAGAGATGTAGGCATTGACAAATGATATATAGAAAAAATCAGAAACTAATAGTTAGTAAGAGAGTAAGAGATAAATAGATTTATTGTTCAAAGATCATCAAAGATCTTTGAAGAAACACATATAAGCATTAAAACTCTATTTGTTATTCTTGTATCTTAGCCTAGAACAAAAATGTGACTTTGATTGTCTTATCCTACAAAGGGATTTCGTGTAACCCAAAGGCTTGGAATAGGGTCGAAATACTCTTTAAGGAAAGTGACCTCGTGCGCGATTCAATCATTATCCAAGTATATAATTCACAAATTTCTGGGTTACAACCCGAATAACCAACAATCTTAAAGAGTATTTTCTTGTGAACTATGACTAGTATATTTGTGCGAGAGATTCATCAAAGTCTGAAAAATTGTAAATGTTTGAGTGNTTTCTTGTGAACTATGACTAGTATATTTGTGCGAGAGATTCATCAAAGTCTGAAAAATTGTAAATGTTTGAGTGAATAAACTTTTAAAGATGGAGAAAGAAGATGAAACAATGGAGAATAATACATCATTGCTATATTCTCAAAGGTATGTTAGTTTCATTTTAAATAGTATTGCTAATGATGATCGAACACGGTACCAAAGGGTGCCATCAAAGGATGCCATCAAAGGATGCCATCAAAGGATGCCATCAAAGGATGCCACCAAAGGGTGCCACCAAGGGATACCACCAAAAGATGCAATCAAGGGGTGTCATCCAAAGGGTGTGATCCTATCGTTAACCAAGGGATACGAGTGCATCGTGATCCAAGAGATATGAATGTATCGGGATCCAAAGGATGCGAACATGACGTGATCCAAAGGATGCGAAGGGATCGGGTCCGAAAGGACACGAATGGTTCGGGTCCGAAAAGGTGCGAATGGTTCAGGTCTGAAAGGGTGCGAACGGTTCGTGACCGAAAGGGTGCGAATGGTTCGAGACCGAAAGGGTGCGAATGGTTCGGCACCGAAAGAGTGTGAATGGTTCGGCACCGAAAGGGTGCGAATAGTTCAGAATCGAAAAGGTGCGAATGCAACGTCACCGAAAATGTGCAAGTGTCACGTTACCGAAATGGTGCAAATGGAACGTCACTGAAAGGGTGCGAATATAACATCACCGAAAGGGTGCGAATGTAACATCACCAAAAGGGTGAGAATGTAACGTCACCAAGAAGGTGTGAATATAACATCACCGAAAGGGTGCGAACATAATGTTACCAAAAGTGAACGAACATAATATCATTGATATTTATGGATGCAAGTCATTAGGGTTAAGGCCGAGCCATCATGAGTGGTAAACATATTGTTCATGGTCGGGNGCTATGGACTATGATCCATGATATGGATCGATGGCTCAAAAAGAAGTGTAAATGAAGTAGCCTTAAGATTTTATTGTACCTTGTAATAAGTATAAAATGTATACATTTATTTGTATGGTAAAGAAAGCACCTAAGCATTAACATCAAATGTTTAATGAGATTGTCTTATCAAGTGGTTTGAGTTAAACTACTAGGATAAATGTTTATATAACAAATTGATGAATTCAGTAATGGAATAATCATTTGCTTATATGTTGATGACATATTGATCTTTGGCACTAGCCATAGATAAGTAGAGTTTACAAAAGCATTATTGTCATCAAGTTTTACAATGAAAGACATGGAGGAGGTGGATGTGATTCTTGAAATTTGAATCACACATACAAATAAAAAACTAACTTTAACAAACTCTCTTTATATTGAGAAAGTTGTTAAGAAGTTCGATTGTGAGATTTTTCTCCAATGACAACTCCCATGGATGCGAGTGTGAAGACTGGGCCTTTAAAGGACAATAAATATCACAACTCGAGTGTTTGAATGAAAACATAAATTATGGTTTGTTTTATGTCAAATTTCCTTTGTTGGTAGAAGGGTATTTAGATGCAAATTTGATTATCAATATAGAAGATCATTCTTCTATAAGTGGTTGAGTGTATTTGCTTGGGGAGGTACCATTTTATGGGCTTCCAAGGAGCAAATTTGCATGAAAAATTTGGCTATAAAATAAAAATTTGTAGCATTAGCATATGCTAGTAAACAGAATATTGAATAAATAATTTAATTTATAAGGTTCTGTTTTGGCCGAAATAGTATCACCAGTTTCTATCTCTGATAGTTAAAAAGTCTTGGTTAAAGTTTATAACTAAGTGTATAATGGTAAGTCGCGACACCTGGCGTTAGATATAGCGCAGTATGTGAGCTGATCACTCACGAGGTGATTACCAAAGAGATTGTTCGGTCTGAAAGGAAGGTAGCATATCATTTGACGA